GGGAAGGTGAGATTCTGTCATTTCTACACGGGGATGTGGGGACGGGAAGGTGAGATTCTGTCATTGGGGCTGGGACACAAAAGGAGGTTCAGGAGAGACCTGCTTCCCTGACAGCAAGGTGCAGCCAAGCGGGGGTCGGGCTCTGCTCCCAGGGAACAGGGACAGAACAAGAGGAAACGGCCTCAAGTTGTGCCGGAGGTTGAGAGTGGATATCGGAAAAATTCCTTCTTAAAAGAGTTGTCCAGCCCTGGCGCAGCTGCAGGGTTGGATGGAGTCCCCATCCCTGGAGGGATTCCAAAGCCCTGTGGATGTGGCACTTGGGGACACTTGGTGGCCCTGGCAGTGCTGGGAATGGCTGGACTTGGTCTTGGGGATCTTGTCCAGGATTCTGTGACTGCAAACCTCGAGGGCTTTGCTGAAAAGCTCCGAGTCCTGGAATCTGACAATTAGCAGCTGATTTCACAGGTGAGTATCAGCTTTTAGCTTTTTTTTTTTTTTCGGTTTTTGCAAGAGACTAACTATTTTTTTCCCTTCAAAGTTTAGTGGGGACCGACACAGACACTGTGCTTTATTTACACTGTGTAATTTTATGTTGCAGGGTCCATCTCCAGGGTTTGATGTAGAGTCCCAGCTACTCCATTAAAGGATTCAGCCATGGTACAACACCTTTGATCCTTCAGAAGTGTTGGTAACACTTGTTTAAGGAAAAGGGTTCACATCCAAAAGGTTCCTTCCCACACCTGCCCAAATTCACTTTGTCTGCAAGTATAAACCTAATTCTGATTTCTGGCTTTTTTTGCTCTTGGCTGCAGGCTGTAAATTTTTGTACATAGCATATAAAGCCTGTGAGCATCTTTTATATTTGGAAAGATCAGCTACAGGCTGTAAATTCCTACCAGGAACCTACAAAATCCACCAGAGACCATGGGCAAACAAGGAATGGGACTCAGCTGATTGGCTTGGTGCAAAATCTGGCACAAGCATGTCCCTGTGAAGGGGGAACATTCCAGCATGTGAAGTATTCCACAAATTCTGTCCAGTTAAGATCTGTGAGACAGGCTTGTCTCCATCTCAGACATATGGCTGAGCTCAAGTAGTTTCAGCTGCAGTTTACACTCTTATTTTTTCTCTTTTTTGCTTCTTTAATAGAGGGTCTGTGTGTTTTATAAAGAAAATATGGAGTTTATTTTGTTTGTTTGTTCTTTTATTTTGGGGTTTTTTTTCTTTAGTTTTTGTTGGGGGATTTTTGGGGGTTTTTTTGGGGGGTTGGGTTTGGGTTTTTTTGAGTTTTTCTTTATCTGTTCATATTTTTTCACACCACGGTCCCACTGATTCTGAGGATTGTGCCCTTTACTCTGTTCTCACACCTCAGAGCTCAAAGGTTTGTCTCTTTTGCACTGAGCAGTGCTGAGCTGTGAAAGGAGTTTTTTAGGAATTATAATGTGGAAAATCCGTACGTGGGTTTGGATTTGTGTAACCAGCAGTGGTGGGAGAGCAGCTCCATCCCAGATCCATGGAAACTGTGGGAGGGAGTCCTGGCTTTCCTGGTTTAACATCCAGAGTCACAGGAGTGGATGAACACAGGCCAAGTTACTTCAGCACTGCATCCTCATGTGGTAATTAAAAAACAAACAAAAAAAAAAACAATCAGTGGAAAAGAATGTTTGACTTCCATTGTGCACAAACCTTTTTTTAGCCAGATGGCAGCACAGTGATTAGCTCAGTCTGATTTAGAGGTTCTGACAGCCTGCAGAGCTAACAGGGGTTGGGTGGAAGTTGTATTAATGCTTGGGAGTTCTTACAGAAAATGACAAAGTTCTGGGCTCTGGGTGAGGGGCTCTGAGCTAATGCTTGAGCCAGGACTAAGATGGAACAGAACAGCTGCTCTGGGATATTTTGGGATCATGGAATGGTTTGGGCTGGAAGGGACCTTAAAGCTCATCTCATTCCAACCAAATTCTACTATTCCAGGTTTCTCCCAGCCCCACTGTCCAGCCTGGCCTTGGACACTCCAGGGATTCTGTGGCAATTCCAGCCCAGCCAGCAATTCCCAATTCCCCAGATCCCAGCCAGCCCTGCCCTCTGGCAGTGGGAGCCATTCCCTGTGTGCTGTCCCTCCTTGTCCCCAGTCCCTGTGCAGCTCTCCTGGAGCCCCTCCAGGCCCTGCCAGGGGCTCTGAGCTCTCCCTGGATCCTTCTCCAGGCTGAACACCCCCAGCTCTCTGTGTCTCAGCCTGGAATCCTCTACCCAGCAGTGAGACAACAAAGCCCCAAAGCCGAGTGGGTTTATGGTCATTTTCTCCCTGCAGGCAGGCAAAGACAAAAACCCCAAGGGTAAAGGCAAAGGCTCCAAAAAAGGTGTAAAGAAGGATGTGATAGAAGTGGATGTTTTCAGCCCAGCTGCCATGCTCAATGCTTACTACATCTCCCACAACGCTGCTGCCTTCCTGGAATTCCGGGGCCATCCCTGGCCTGGCTCTCTCAAAAAGAAGGGGAAGAAAAAGAAATGAAAACCGAACTCCTTGGTGATTAAACCCGCCCTGACCTCTGCAGTGGTCAGCTCCAATATTTTTCCTGTGTCTGTACAAAGACATTTTTATTGCAGCTCATGCAGAGTGACAAAGGGCAGGGGACACTGTGCCATTGTCGCTTCACCCTGTGCCATGCTGGGGCTGGATTTTCTCACCCTGCTGCCATTCCTTGTGGATGGGATGAGTCCCTGAGACCTCCCTGAGCTCAGGAAGGGTTGACAGAGTCAGTCCTGTGAGGAGGGGCTGGGGGAGCTGGGAAGGGGCTGGAGAATCCCTGAGGGAGCTGGGAAGGGGCTGGAGAATTCCTGAGGGAGCTGGGAAGGGGCTGAGCCTGGAGAAAAGGGGGATCAGGGGGGCCCTTGTGGCTCTGCACAAGTCCCTGACAGGAGGGGACAGCCAGGGGGGATTTGGGATGTGGGAACAGGGACAGGAGGAGAGGGAACGGCCTCAGGCTGGGCCAGGGGAGGGCAGGGTGGATTTTGGGGAATTTCCCCATGGAAAGGGTGGGCAGGGATTGGAAGTGCCCGGGGAGGGTTGGATCCCCATCCCTGGAGTGTCCAAGGAACTCCTGGAGGTGGCACTGAGGGTGACAAGGTGGGGTCAGTCACAGCTTGGCCTGGGTGGTCCTGGAGATGTTTTCCATCCCAAATGATCCTGGGAATGTGAGTTGGGCCTTGTCAGGGATTCTGGGATGGGATGTTACAGCCAGCAGAGGTGGGGATGAACCCCAACACCCTGGCTGGACACCACGAGTTCTGTGTCACATCCAGAGCCCTTTTGCTGCATTTCCTCCACGGGTGTTCAACACAGCCCTGGGGGATTCATGAAGCACCAGGCTGAGAGGAGCTGAGCATCTCTGCCAGGCCTTTCCACCCCTCTGCCTTCCAGGTACCTTCCTCCTCCAGGTAACAGTTAATTATCATCAATCCAAGCCAATTAAGGCCTGGAAATCCTGGTGCTGCTTCTCCAGCCTAAACCATTCCCTCTCTGAGGGGGTTTTGACCAGGGAAAATCATTACTGGTGGCATTACTTGTCAGCAAGCTGCTGTCATTTGTAGCTTGCTGCAAACTCCACTGGGATTGTTTCACCTACATGTGGTACAACTCACTCTAAAAACCAAAACTGATGTCTGGGGGAAAAAAAAAATATATATATGTATATGAAGGGTTTATCTTAGAGCAATTTGGTTGCAGAGGAAAACAGCCATGTGGCCATTTTGGCTGTTACTATCTCTAGAAATATGACAACATGAAAGCATAAAAATAACATTGAAGAAAATGGGATATAAGGAAAAGAAAGGGAAAGGATCAAAGAGAAAGATCTCACCACCCAGGTCTGGTGATGAGACTTGGTTGTTGCAATTTCAGTGTCTGCTGGTCCCACTGGTGGTTCACAGGGTGGATCCAGCAGGTGATGAGGGGAAACCCTGAAGAAGAAAAGTGCACAGAACACAAAATCTGGGTTTGTATTCACTCAGGCTCAGGTGGGAATGGAGAGTTTCCCCCTGGATGATGGAATGCTGTGGGTCACACCTTGGGGACTCTGACACCCTCAAAGGTGCTGCAGCTGCCTTTTATATCAGCACAGTTGAGCCCATTTTGGGCAAGGTGAAAACCTTGGGGCTACCTGTGAATGTCGTGATATTCCAGGGCAGTGATCCCAGCTGAGTTCCCTTGAGCAGGGACAAAGGCAGTGCCCTGCTCAGCCCTGACCCAGGCTCCCTTAGCAGTTTGTAGTCTGAGCTGGGCTGTGCTCCTTTATAATTATAAATAGTTTTATCAAAGGTGTTATTCACATCTGGAATGAGGGTTTTTCAATTTGCACCTGAATGTTTGAGCTGGCAGCATCCCACCCTCTCTTCCAACACCCTTGTGGATCCATTTTTGTCCCCAGTCCCAGGGTCATTGGATGAAAGTTGCATTTTTGTCTTATCCCAGATTCAAAACCCAGCGTTCCAGTCGGGGGGGGGGTGTTTGGGGAGGGGTGGCTCTGCTGGTCACAGATGGTCACACTGATCTGTGACCATCAATTTTCAGTTTTTGCAGTTTTCTACAGCGGGCAAAAACCTTTCCATGATTTTAGCAACGTCCAAGCCACTCCCAACACGTCAAGAAAATAACCACGGGATCATTCTGAGCTGGAAAAGATCACCAAGCCCAAGCAGGAGGCAGCCAGGCTGCTGGATTTCCTGGTTGCTGCTGGCCTGCTCTGATGACACAGGGATGTGGTTTGCAGCACCAGTTTGTTCTGAGCTCTGCACTGTGTCTCCTCCTCAGCCTCCTCTCGTGTTCTCACTTCCCCAACACCCACCAGGAAGTCTCTGGTCACAGCAGCTTGCAGCTATTTCCTCCATCATCTCTTGCAACCTCTGTGTTCAGCATCTCCAGCTAAGAAATTAATTTAAAAACCCCCAAATATTAGATTTTGGTATATTTACCACACAGGGCTTTTAGGGGCAGATGTTTCTGAGCACTGGAGTGGGAGCTGCTTAAGGTGGTAAAGGATGGTGAAAAGTGAGCCAGGCCATTTTGACATCTGTGGTAAACTGGAGCCACAACGGTTTCAAAACTCCCAAGTTCCAGTATCCAAAATTTACTGGAATATTTATGAAGTAATAGTAAATGATATTATTTGTTTCTCTCTTTAACAAAAATTCTGATTTCAGCATGATGCCACTGAGCACAGCAGATGGTGACCAGTGAAGTGCAAAGAACAAAGACTCTGCTTTCCAGTGCATCTGAAAAATTGCCAATCACTTCTTTGACAGCAGGTGAAAAAACCCAACAATCCCAAACTGAGAAATGAAACACTTTATTTTTCCTCCTCCTTTTCCCTTTTACCTCTCAGCTGAATTTTGCATGTAATTCCATCTCCCTGGTGGTTAACAAAGACCAAAAGACACTTCTAAAATAAAGTTTGGACTTCAAATGGCTGGATTTGCTTCAAAGTGCTGCAGGCTGTGCCATGACTTGTGTGGATGTGACTCCACAGAGTCCCCAGAGCTGCAGGGGGATATTTTCAGCTATTCCTGCTTTATCCCAGCCTGTAAAATTTGGATGTGACTCCATAGAATCCCCAGAGCTGCAGGGGGGTATTTGCAGCTATTCCTGCTTTTTCCCAACCTATAAAATTTGGATGTGACTCCACAAAGAATCCCCAGAGCTTCAGGGGGACAATTGCAGCTCTTCCTGCTTTATCCCAACCTGTAAAATTTGGATGTGACTCCACAGAATCCCCACAGTTACAGGGGGATATTTTCAGCTATTCCTGCTTTATCCCAACCTGTAAAATTTGGATGTGACTCCACAGAATCCCCACAGCTTCAGGGGGACAATTGCAGCTTTTCCTGCTTTATCCCAACCTGTAAAATTTGGATGGGACTCCACACAGAGTCCCCACAGTTACAGGGGGATATTTTCAGCTTTTCCTGCTTTATCCCAGCCTGTAAAATTTGGATGGGACTCCACAGAATCCCCACAGTTACAGGGGGACAATTGCAGCTTTTCCTGCTTTATCCCAGCCTGTAAAATTTGGATGGGACTCCACAAAGAATCCCCAGAGCTTCAGGGGGACAATTGCAGCTTTTCCTGCTTTATCCCAACCTGTAAAATTTGCTTCTTGGCTGGGCTTTTCTGGGGTGCAGGATTTAAGCTGAATTCATGATGAATAAATCCTGCTCTGCCCAAACCCACCAAGAGTTTTGTGAGGGTGTGTGCAGGCTGGAAATGCCCTTTTTTTGTGGCACAGCTCAGGGAAATGGGGGTGCTGCACGTGTCAGGTCTTGCAGGGAGTTAAATCTTTGTAGTGTTGGGGTTTCCTGTGCTGTGCTGCCACTGTTGGCTGACGTTTCCTGCAGGAAGTTGTGTACCAGAGCCCTGCTGGTAAAAATACAGGAGATGTTGGGGTGTGTTTGTGGGTGGGGAGAGCCACGGGGCTGTTCTGTGATGGGGGTGGTGGAGATATAAATATAAATATAAATATAAATATAAATATAAATATAAATATAAATATAAATGTAAATGTAAATGTAAATATAAATATAAATGTAAATATAAATATAAATATAAATATAAATATAAATATAAATATAAATATAAATATAAAAATGTAAATGTAAATATATATAAAAAGATACATATAAATATAAATATATATAAAAATATAAATGTACATATACATATAAATATACATATAAATATATATAAATATAAATGTAAATGTAAATATAAATAGATATAAAAATATACATATACATATAAATATAAATATACATATACATATATATAAATAGAAATGTAAATATAAATATAAATGTAAATATATCTAAAAATATAACTACAAATACAAACAGAAATGTAAATATAAATGTAAATATATATATAAATATAACTACAAATACAAATAGAAATACAGAACTATAAATAACAAATATAGCTAATATGAACAGAACTATATTATTCAATAAAAGCTATTATTCACCACATTTGGAATGAAGGTGTTTCAAGCTGTCCTTTTCCCCTCCCTCCAGGCAGCATTTCTGGATTTCTGGGTTTCTCCCTGCACATTATTTCACCCGAGGAAGAGCAGAGTGGATTTCTGGGTGTGTAAGAAAGGCTTGAGCAGGGGCAGGGATATTTTTGTCCCAGCTCTCATTTGAAGAGCTGCCCTGGCTGTCACCTCCCAGCTCCAACAGCTGAGGACTCTTTTCTTCATAAAAGCAACCTCCATAACAAAGAGGCTCCCATGGAGAATTTTTAAAGAAAAATTTCCTTGCAAGAGGTTTTTTTTTTTTTCACTGTCCTCCCCTGGTGCCATTTCAAGAAGAAAAAAACTCAATTTTACTCTCTTTTTATAAGGGTTTGTTTTGCAAACTTTCTGTGTAATTTTTTTTTTAATTACATAAGCTGGTTTTTTTTCTCTCTTTTGCTTCTGTAACTACCATACAAAGGAAAAAAAAAATGAAATTTTAGAACTCCCAGGAATGGTTGTCAGGCAGGAACCAGGACACCTGCAGGTACCAGAGGCTCCCACTGGGGTGGGTTTGTTCCATCCTGCTGCGTTTTCCACTGTATAATTTTAATTTTCCAGAGGTTTTCTGGGGTATGCAGGGAATTCAGGAGTCCTGTTTATTTTGGTGTCCTTTTAGAGGAATCTTTTCCCACCTCAACAGCCTCAAACCATAAAAGGATCCTGGGGAGAAAACACCTTGCTCCTTGAATTTTAATTTGTTTAGGCTGCACATAAGTTCATAAAAATATATATTTAATTATTTTAAAATAAAATAAAGGCCTTTAAAATGGCTGTGTTCCTTTTAGGTTATTGCCACAGGATTTCAGGAGAAGCAATCAAAAGGAATTTTTGAATTTAAAGTCTGATACATTCACAACTAAACCAAAGTAAACCAAGTGGAACCATTATGCAAAAAAAAAAAAAAAAAAAAAAAGTGTCAGCATTTGTCTTTGAGCTGTAAGTGACACTGAAAGAGAGAATTGTGTAAGAAAAATGAGGGAAATGTTTAATGGAACCCCTGGCTGTAGTGGATCCCTGGGAATGGCCACAATCCTGTGCCATGAAGGGAGCAGTTTGCTCTTTGCTGGAAATTCTTGACCTAAATATTCAAAAATTCGCCTGCATTTACTGCTGAATATTTAAAATATTTTAAATATTTTTTGGAGTATTTTTAAGAGCTGAAAACACAAGGATAGGCCAAGTGCTCCCACAGTCCTACAGGAAATATCAGCAGGGAGAGCAGCACACAGATAACTGAAGAAAGCAAAAATGCTCAAAGCTGTTTAGTACAAACCAAAAATTACATTGAACTTCAGAATTTATTTTTTTTTTCACTCTCTCAGGATGATTCAAGTGGGTCATGCAACTCTTGGGGACACTTTTCCCACAGAATTTTATAGGAAGTGTTCTGTGAAGGATGGAGATAATCAGCCTGGAATAAGAGATTTTTCTGTGCAGACTGAGATGTTAAATCAGAAGTTACAGCACCATGTTTGAGTTAAAGTGTAAGTGAAAGCAATTAAGTCCCAATAATTATCGCAGTTGGGGTTTCCTGGAGTTTTCTCAGGGCTGACATGGCCAACACACCTGAAAGGGGATTGAAATGTGAATTATCTCACCCTGCTGGTCATGCTGGGATCTCCCTAGGGATCAAAAGGAGATGGGAAACAGAAACTTCCAGAAAATTCTGATTTTTTTTTATCACATATATGGCAAAACGCTCATTCCTTAGATTATGGCATCCCTGAAAAAAAAAAAAATTGCTTTTTGAGGCTTTTTTGGATTTCCTTTAGTCTGAAGAAGAAGGTTTGTAGAAGAAATGTGTCCCTGCATGCTCAGGTGATGGCTGGGCTGCTCCCACGTGGCACTCGGTGTGCTGAAGACACGGTGACAACAACTTGGGGACAGCAGGAATGATGTGGCTCCTTTGGGACTGACACAAATGCCGGTCTGGGACGGTTCCCAAGGGTTTGTTTGAAGTGTCACAGAGGCAGGCAGACCCTGCTGGAGCTCTAACATTTGTGTCTGCTGGCCATTTCTGCTCTGTCACGTCTGTTTGTGATGGCACTGTGAGTTTCCCAGCCCGGGTTTGGGAGGTTTTGCTGGTATAAAATGGAATTATTTGCAGCAGAGGAGGGCGGGGGCCTGTAGAGGATGATGATGATGATTTCCTGCCTGTAGGGTTTGATTGGGCTGTCAGGTGATTTTATCACACCTGAGGCAGGGAACAGCCAGGTGCTTTCTGCTGGAGCTTTCCAAGCTCTTGGTCTTGCTCCAGTTGTAACCATCGAGCTTGGCACGGGGTCCAGCTCCCTCCAATGACACAGCCTGAGGTGGGGCTGTGAAATCTTCTGTCACCTGTCGTTTTGGCTCCCGAGATGTTTTATAGAAAGAACTTCCTGAAATGTGATACAATATTTAAGGGAGTACCTCATAATTACAGCTTGCCCTTTGGGAACTGGTTTCTGTTCTGTTTCCTTAGAAATCTGCACGGTTTTATCAATCCCTCATCCTTTCCCCTTCATGTGCTTGGCAC